GCATGAACAGGAAGTGTTGGAGTCATGTAAGAAGAAATTGGGGGAAGAGGTGAGGTGAAGCAGTGAGGAAAAAAGCCTTGTATACCAAGGTAAAAATTTTTACTATTAGAAAGTATGTTTCATTGAAAAAAACAGGGATCGCTAATGAGTACTGAGATGAAAGACAAAAGAAACAACAAACCTAAGCTTCCTGACAAAAGGAAAGCAAGAATGAGTGGTATTGGACAAACCATTATATATTGCAAAAACAGTTTAAGCTATTTTAGGGCCCCCCTCCCCCATCCAATGTGTGTTACCCATATGCTCATGGGTGTAGGACCATTCAGTGGAACATGGTAGACCTATGGAGGGGCCACACCCTTTCCCAAAACTGATTGTCCCTCCTGTATCTGTCATCAGCTGTCAATAGGTCCTCAATTAGGTGTGAGAGCTTGTGAGCTTTTCCCTCTCCCTGCTGAAATGTTGACCGGCTTGATCTTGTACAAGTCTTGTACAGGCAACCACAGATGTTGTGAGTTCATGAATGTAGCCATTCTGTCATGTCCAGAAGACACTATTTTACCAGACTTCTAATTCTAAATGTCTGAAGTCTTTCTCTTTGCTTTTTTCTTCTTTCTTTTGTATTTCTTCTTGGTGACACTGAGCAGTGAGCCCACCATGTTGCATGTGCTAGACAAGTATTCTGCCACTGAGTTATATCCCTCTCTCCCTTTTTTTGTACATAGAAGTTGAGTTTGCTATTTTATCTCTCTATTTTTTATGTTTCTCTTCTTTTCCCCACTTTATTTTGGTTTTCTTTTGACCCAACCATCTTATTTCAAGCTCCAAGTAAAGTTGAAAGGTTAATGATTATATCTGAATTGGAATTCCAGAGAGTGCTCTTTTGGCAAGGTTTACAACATTAGCATTCTTTTTAACTCACTGGTTAGGCCCCTCCGTCAATTAAAATATAGCTTAACACTGGCGTGCATCACTTGGCACATTCTGTTTATCATGCATCAAAAAATGGTTGAAATCAGAACTTCCTCTAAATAGTGTGGCTCATGTTTGTGATTTTGCAAACCACCTTGGGCACAATATTGAATCATGGTACCTCGAGGGGAGAAAACATTTGAAGGTAGAATTGCTCTTCTTTATTGTTCTTAATAACATGCTCCATCTGTAACATTTCACAGGGTGAAATTCAGAGGTTGGCTTTAGAATAAATAAATTCATGTGTAGTTTACTATTCAAATTCAGTAGACAATATCCCTTGGTGCTGATGCTGTATGATAATGAATGATTTTTCCACTAGAGAATGTAAATTACAAAGCCCCAATCGGAATTGCACATAGTAGTTATAGAAACATCTGTATAAGAAAATGCCAAAGGACAGCCTGATGTCATATAAAAACTATTTACTGATAAATCTGCTTCTGATGGGCTACTAAAAATGGACACATTAGACATAAAAGATGTGTGTGTGTGTGTGTGTGTGTGTGTGTGTGTGTGTATTATGACAGCCGGATTTGCAAAGGATGACAGGCTTCGACTGGTGTACTGAGATAAGAAACAGCTGTTGTTGGCATCAGCACTACTGCGAGAAATGAAATGATAATTCTGGGGGAACACATATGAGAGTTACCCCATATTTCATTGAGGTTTGAATAGATGCGAGGCCAGAGTCATCTGGTAGCTTTGAATGAAATTGCCAATATCCCTTTAATATTCTCTTCGGAGAAGTACCAAATCCAGTCCTATAGGACCGTCATTCAACTGTGTTATTTCTACAGCAAGTACTTCAGTCCAGCAGATGTGCATCTAGTGTGTAATGGGGCAGGGAAGGAATAGGAGGAGCCTGGGGTTTTTTTCTTACTTTTAATTGCATAAAAGGCATTTTTTGAGGATGAAATTTCAGGGTTTCAAATATAGAAAAGTAGTTGCTTGAGTGAATTTATAAACTGTGAGTCAAAGAAAAAAACACATCCTTTATGGGAGAAAAATTCACTGAATCTCACCATTGGATCTATTTGATAGGTACACATAAAGACAAACGAGTTTGCATTGCTTTGTTTTTTAAATTTTTTTTTTTTTTTTGCGCCTTTCCTGGAGCTCACTTGGTAGCCCAGGCTGGCCTCGAACTCACAGAGATCCGCCTGGCTCTGCCTCCCGAGTGCTGGGATTAAAGGCGTGCGCCACCACCGCCCAGCTGTTTTTTAAATTTTAAGGAGAAAAGATTAGCAATGAAGAACTGTAAGTACTAAAGCCGAAGAAATACTTATTGGGGCTAGAGAGGTGGATTAGTGGTTAAGAGCACAGATCTGAGTTCAATTTCCAGTACCCACATGTCAGCACACATCTGTCTGTAAGTCCAATTGCAGGGGGTGCCCACCCCTATCGTTCATGGGCACCAAGCATACACATGGTACATAGACATGTATGCAAGCAAATTACCCAAACACATATAATTTTTAAAACTATTTTAAAGTTTTTATTTAACTGGAACTTGGATTTGTTTGTTTTTAAAATTCATCCAATTATTTAATAAACATATTCTGGTAATTCCTCTGACACATAAATGGGACTTGCTCCTCATGTTGAACAATGTAAAGTGAATCATAGACATTTTAGGTAGATCTGGCTGTTAGCTCTTCTGAGTACCATGGATTCTCTTGCCCATTATACAGCTGAAAGTCCCTTCTTCATTTTGGCTTTTTGATACCAAGTCTCGCTATGTAGCCCAGGCTGGTCCCCAGCTCTACTTCTTTAGGTACAGCAAGTCACTTAGCCAAGCTGCAGAGCTTACAACCACTTCCCTCTAACAGATGCCTAAGGACAGTCTAGAAAAGCAAACTGGTTTTTCTGTTACAAGAGGGCATACCTCCTCCTTGGAATTAGAAAGAATTTCTGATCCATTATAATGATAAATAACTAGGAAAATGGAAGAAATCATAAAGCTTTGGTCCTTTGGAGACCTTTAAGGAAGGAATAGCCTTTCTTCTGTTAGTGTGGCCATTCATACCCTCACAGTCAGCAAGGGTGAGGCCACCAAATGCACTCTGGAGTTCTGTTCTTCCTTATTTATACATGGCACGATTGTCAAGAAGAGACTTCACTAATCAGCCAGGAGATAGGATCACTGCCTCTCCATTATGCTTCCTATCAGAACAGGCTTCGGTTGGGAGAATCTCAGAACATCAGATTTGATCAGGTAGGCTGGATAGTCTAGTCCATGTGTTGAAAGCAAATAGTATTTACAGTGTGAAGTAATCAGAGTCAAAAAGCTGTAACCTAGTGTAGAAAACAAGACAGCAAGAAGAGAGTTGGCAGAGAATGACAAAGGCCAGGGGAAAGACGAGACGGGAAGGCAAGGTGAGGAAAAAGGAAAAGAATATAAAAGGATAGAAAGAAATGGAAGACTAGGGACTATTTCAAAGCAGTAGCTAAATATCTTTTTTCTCCCTGTTAAGGATTTCTGTCTGCAAAAAGGATAAAAGCATAATTACCTGCTAAATACCGATCCATTTCTTATATCATTTAAATGACATATCTCCAAGGGACAAAACCTGGTTAAAGGTTGGGTAAAACAATCCCTCTATTACTCTATATAAAACAAAGAAGCTGGAGTTTCATTACCCTTAAATTGTCTGGCATGGGGGAAGTTAACTTTTATTAGAAGCTGTTCTTTCATATTATACAGTGTAGTCAAGAATATATTAGCTTTGACGTTTTCTTCCATCTCAATACACTATGAAATGAATTTACTGTGAGATTAACTTAGAAGGGAGATTTTCAGTGAAGAAAATAACAGCTTCAGTTGTGCTTCCAATTATTAGTGGGATGACGCTTCAGAAACACACACACACACACACAGAGAGAGAGAGAGAGAGAGAGAGAGAGAGAGAGAGAGAGAGAGAGAGAGAGAGAGAGAATTGCTAGAATATACTTTTTATATTTCTGTTTCTGATGGTGTTCCATATCCTGTGTTTTGTGTCTTCTGTACTAAATATTGAACCCAGAATGTATGATTCTTCAAATTCCCATTTCTTCAAACTTTATTCAGGAGGAAGGCTGCAAAGTTAAGAAGTTAACAGTACCTTTTCAACAGGATTATTTTGTTGTCAGGAAAGAAATACTCAGACATCAGCAGTACATAAAAGATACCTTTAGTGAATCAGCTTTAGTAAAGAATGGGGGAACCTACAACATTAAAAAAAAAAGTTGAAAAGCTGGTAATGATTGCACTTACCTGTAACCCCAGCTACACAGGAAGCTAAGGAAGGGGAATCATAAGTTCAAGGTCAGTGTGACATACAGAATGAGGTCTGACCTTAAAATTGAAAAAAAATGAACAGTTTAAAGATAATTGGTTTGACTTATGTATAATAAAGTCATTAAATGAATTCCAAATACAGGCAGGACACATCTGTGTGACCAGACTGTGCTATCATCAGGTGTCATTCAGTCACCTTTGGTTGTCTCTTCTAATAATATGGTGAACAACTGACATTTGAAAGTACCCAATTAAGTATGTAATTGGTAAATGGATTTGGATCCTCTTTAATCAAATGAAAATAAGCATACCAGATTAATAATAAGCATAGTATCTTTGTTTCAATAACTTAGAATGCAAATATATCACAGAGGGATGTTTTATTCGATAAACTAGTAAAACCCAGTCAATCAAATAAGAAAAGCAACAACAGGAAGTATTATAAGGGAAGCACTCAGTGGAGTAAAGCCATCAGTCTATTCATTCATTTTTTTTTTATTTCTAGTATAGGTTTAGCAGTAGAAAGAGCCTCCTGGCCCTTTGCATTAATCTTTGTGCCTGAATGAGTTCAATTTCACTTAGTTTAGGCCAGAAACTTCAGAACAGCAGTTTAATCCATCCTATCTTCATGAGCAACTGAGCAAACAGACCAGTATCAGTGTAAAGATGTAATTCTGCTGATATAATGCTGTCTCTACTGTTAGCCATGGATTTGACCTCTTTGCCTTTCTTTTTTATCCTTTTGCAGCTTCAGTCCAGGGTCCCTGGGAGAGAGCCATCTCACCAAACAAAGTGCCCTACTATATCAAGTAAGTCAAAAGAATCACTTCCTTAAAGGAGCATTTATTGTATCTGATCTGTATGTTCACAAACGAATTTCTTTTTAAAAGCGGTTGCCTTCTTCTACAATACCTATCTCTTCTTATTCCTAAGGAAGCTTGGATAGTAAACTCATACTGAAATTAGCCCTGTAAATTTGCTGATGCAATAGGGAACCACTTTCAGGAACAACACATTTAAGGAAGCATATAAGGTGTGTTTTTGAGGGTGAGCAGAATTTTCACAGTAGAACAAAAATATCCAGGTAATATCTTTGATGGTGGGAGTGATTATTTGACAGAAAAATATTATTTATGTAGAGGTTTTCTGCATTTCTTCTTCAGACAGAGGTGGAAGATTTATGAAGTGATATTTACACAAACTGTTTAAATGAATTATATGTCACATAACCCATAGGCACACAGTCCAGATTTTGTGGAGCTGAGGTGTTCATTCTCAATATGTAGCTTTCAGCCTTTGTTACCTAATAATAGTATCAAAGGGGAACTCTTTTTTGGGGCCATTTGTGCCAGCCAAGGAAAAGAGTCAAAGGATGGATGTTCTATGAAACTTAAATTATGATATATTGAGTTGACACGGAAAGGAGAGAAGAAAGAATATTGAATTATTATGATGGTTTAACTCTCTCATCAATCGTGCAAGGGTCTAACTTAAATCTAACTTTGAAGTGGCTACCCCCATCAACAATTAGGAGTAACTTGGGTTTTGAAACAATCTTCAGTAGCAACTAAAGTCTTTGAACTTTCTTCTGGCTTGAGTCTGAATACAAATATTAAATGCTTTCCCAGTTCTTTCAGCCTGCCATCTTTTATCGAGGCTGTTTTTAGTCTTCTGCTACCCATCAATTCTTTATAATTCAGTTCCAAAACAATAACTGCAGTCCTAGATCTTCATTACTTCAGTTCTCAAGAAATGTGATTTCCTGTCTGTATTTTGTTAACTCAAAAGAATGACGATGAAGTGACTTGAGAGGCTCTCTAGAGCGAGACATATTCTTCAGGAATATGGCTTAACTTTTATCTTATTAAATTTTTCCCAAATGAGGTATCTTCTAACTTTAAAAAAAATCTTTAATATGTTTTCATCCTACTTTACAATTTTATTCCTTTTTGAAACAGTTTTTTTTTAATTTTTATATTGAATGTATTCATATCATGACTCTAAATTACATATTTGAAACATCAGTGTAAGGTACATGTTTTACTAAATAATATATAGATTTAAATATGTGTGTATATTTTTATGGAATGTTTACTACATCAGTGTTTGTGGTCAGTGCAGATTTCATTTCTGATTAAGATATTTCAGACTTACAAGTTCACCAGCAAAGCTCTCACTTTTATCCATTTCCATTATAAGCTGCAATAAAGGTTCTTCTATGTTTGTGCATGAAGGTTTAGAACCATCTTAGAATTGCTATTATGCAATGATTCTCTGAATTACTGTTTAGGGTTCATTAACAGTCTCACGGGGATATTCAGCACTTTCCACCTTTTTCCTAAATATTTCTCTTCTCTCTCATGCAGTGGTTCTCAACCTGTGGGTCACACCCCATTTGTGTTCACATATCAGATATCTTGCATATAAGATATTTATATTATAATTTATAACAGTAGCAAAATTACAGTTATGAAGTAGCAACAAAGGTAATTTTATGGGTGGTCACCACAACATGAGGAACTCTATTAAAGGGCCACAGCATGAAGAAGATTGAGAATCACTGCTTTAATGTTAAATCTAATGAAAGACATTCCTGTAGCTTGCTATGGGGCAGTAAGTAGAAGTTAATCCAGTCATCTAAAATCACAAATAGAAAATTTGAAAATGCTGCAATTGATCACTTCTCAGTCAGTAGATCTCTTTGTTGTTTCTCAGTGAAAATATAGAGCAGTTCTATATCCTATTTACCCAGCACTCCTTTACACCTTGAAGAATGATTTTGGTAATGAAAACACAAATTCTAGCCCTGGCTGTTATTAGTTATGAAGTCATGGGCAAATAATTAACCTATATAAATCTTAACTTCTCATTTATAAAATACAGTGTTTACTTAAATGATATCTAAGGCCTTTTTCAGCTATCAGAATCAATGAAGTTGGTCATTCAATGGCCATGTCTAAACTCTGAATCCTAAGATCTGAATTTTTTTTTTCAAGAATTTTATCTTTATTTTGAAATGTGTTAGTTTAGTTAGTTTGGTTGGCTGGGGGTCTGGCTGGTTGGTTTGCTAGAGTACTAAAGATGGAACCCCAAGGTCTTACAAATACTAGACAAGCACACTAACACTAAACTATATGGTCAGGTGCCAACATAAGCCCTTATTGCTTTAAACATGCATTGACATGCATGTATGTTTGTGAATTTTTTCTACTCTTGAACCTCAGACATCATCTTTCAAACCCACTACAATGTCTCTAGATAATTTTCAAGACCTCAATTTTTCCTGGTTACATAGTAAAAGACCTAAAACAACAGACAGGAAGAAATTAGTGCAAAGGTGATTATGCAGTCCTAAAGTGCCTCTGAAGTTCCTAGAATAAGAAGTCACCTCATTTTTCATAGGCACCTCTGAAACGTTATGGAGAATAGTTCTCTACATAAATAAGTTACTTAAAATTAAGGATTACAATTAGAGGTCTAAAATGTCAAGCTAAAATATACAGAAAATAAATATTTATAAAATATACATTATAATAAATACTTTAATGGCATTTTCTTTTAAATTTTAACTATTGTCTAACATATATGTAAAGCAAATTACTATTTTAAATTCATTTTATTGTTGGAGAATTTCATCCATGGTTGTAATGTGTTTTGATCAAATCCACTCCCGAGTGTCTCCCCTTCAATTCCCCACCTGTCTTTTTATCACTTTTCCCTCCCAACTTCATGTGCTTTGTTTCTAAACTTCCTGTAGCCTCTCTGGGATCACATCCTGGAAGAAAACTGACTTTCCTTTCCCAGCAGCCATCAATTGCCAGTAGAGTCTGGCTGGGACTTCATGGCCCCCTCCCCCTTCCATGCCAGGATTTTGGCCAATTTGATCTTGTACAGGTCATGTGCATGCAGTCACAGCTGCTATGACTTCATGTGTGCAATGGCCACATCATGCCCAGCTAATATTGTTTCTTTGTGAATGTCCACTACTATGGCTCTTGGAATCTTTCAGCCCCCTCTTCTGCAATGATAACTCAGCCCTGGGTCAAGAGTGTTCCTTTTAGAGCTGAGCACTCCACAGCCAAAGCAAATTATTTTAAGTATAAGGTTCAGTGATGTTATGTTCTGGCAAAAAATAGAAACATTCATAATCAGAGATGCCTTATTGGTCCAAAATAGCAAGATGACAATGAGTTGAAAATAAGTTGTTAAGTAAAATATTCTGATTGTTCTTCCCCATGCTTACCAGACCCTCTTTCTTCCCTACAAATTTCGTTTCTACATTCATGACTTTTGTTTCACGACCCAATGAGTTTAACCCATGGCCTTTTGTTTGACCCTGAGTTTGAAACTTTCTATTGAATCAGTTGGGATAGAGGGCTTATCAGTTGGTACACAACTGAAAACAATGATTCCCCCATCCCAGAATTTGTTAGTAGCCAGACTTTGTTCAGCTGTAGGGGAATCCCATGAGGCCTTCTCTAGTCCATAGAAGACTGTTGGCAGGGCCAGTCCTATGCAGCTCTGGATCCAGTAAAGGCGGGTGCTGTGAGTGCATCTTTTTCTTGTGCCTAGAAGATGGTGTTTCACAGCCCTTCTCACTATCACAGATTCCCATTGGCAAAACCAAGTTATGTTCTCAGCTAAATGCTTAAAAGCTTTGTATTTTCAATGGCAGATTATTCAAATAACAAGAGTTTAAATACCAATAGAAGTTTGCATACCAATAGCACAAGACCCATGGGATTAATGAATTGGGCATTCATTCTTGAGGTGTTAAGACATTAACAAGAGTTTTGTTGTGAAGTGGAAATCAGGCAGTGTTTATGCATGTCCTGACACCAGCTTTTCATATGAACCTCCATTTTGATACTTCAGACTACATGTTTGTCTAGTTTATTAGCCTATAGCATACATCATTGTTACAGATTTCATATTCTCTCTCCCTTGGGGCTCTCTTATTTCTGCCAGCACCTCTATCAGGTTATTTGATTACAGTTTTCATTGCCACTGAAAAAATAATCACCAACATTGTTCAACCTGTTACAACTGCCTTTTCTACTCTCTGCCATTTTGTAGTTTTTTGGCCTACTGTCAAACTCATGAAAATTTCAGTATAATAGCCTTTAACCAGCTGCTGCATTCTGTTAGGATTTCTTTCACCTTTTTATGTTTCATACTCCCATATGGGTAAACCAAACAGAGCCAAGAACTAGGACTCTCTTGCTTACTTAATGAGATAGAAAATTATTCTTCTGTGTTCTGGACTGTCAGAAGAATTTAGGAATCCCAAACTTGCATGCAGGATGTTCCAACATAGATGCCATAATAAAAGCATAAAAATATCGCATTGAATCAGACTGACATGGCAACTATCCCAGGCCTCTATCCCATATGGAGGCATGAGTGGTGTTGATTGTTTGTTTGTTTGTTTTGTCAGTTAACCTAGTAATTTTCATCTCAAAAATTAGGGTGCATCATGCCCAGTTGCTAATGATGTATTGGAAAATGACTGACAGCGAAGTTTGCACAAAGCTCTGTAAAACTTTCGCCATGTATTGCTTCAGTCTTATCTTAGAAATAACTCCTATGGGTATATTGAATTCTATATAAATCAAGGAATGTTTTACTTTCTCTTCAGTCTACATCCCTTGACCTCAACAAATGGCCCTAGTTAAATGGTTTGGAAATCAATGAAGACATTTATATTTACCCACTGTGGACTTTAATCTCACATCCCTTGACTAATGCTTTTTATTTCCATCTTCCTGCTTTGAGAAATGTTAATCCTTTTTAGTCTTTTAGTCTGTCC